TGCGCTTCTACAGTCTTCTAAAGGAGTCATCAAGAAGTGTTGCTGCACCTCTATACCAATCCATCATACAGTCGCTGGAGCAAACACAACACTTAATCGAATGACTTAGCAAAGAACACAAAATGCGGATTAATGATGCTGCCGCCGCTCTGACGTAACGCCACACCTGATAGACATTACCTTACTCTACTCATCGATAAAGATTGCAGGTGCGGAAACTGGATGAAAAATTGCATGCAATTGCCGTATGGCATTCTCTTGTTGTTCTTGATTAATAAAATAAGAAAAGTTGCCAGTCGATAGATTAAAGTTATCGTTGGTTTGATAAATGATGTGCTCCGCAAGTTGCTGTCCCTCTTCATTTTTTTGTTCCTTCATCGTCTTTTTATTATTTCATTTTTTTCAGCTTTATCCCTGCATTAATAAGGCATATCCCATTCTCTCACCTCCCCATTTTTTGGTTAATTTCATCACTTTAAACGTTACAGAGGTGAATTATGGGGTTTGCACTCGATCAAAATTTTCCTATATTTCTGCATTAGAATTAATTAATTAAGATCCCTGCTTGATCTAATTAACCATTGGTTGAAAGTAGGAACCAATTTACTTTAATGCCAGTCCCGTTTTGGGTTTTAATTAACTATAACTTATACCGTGGATAATTGCGCTGGCCATTGGTCGATTTAAATTTGAATAAACCAATCAGACTTTAAAATGTTTATTATTTGTTGTCTCTTTATTATACTCTAGTATCTAAAAGCAATTTATTTTTTTAAATTGCTCATTATTATCTTTCAATATTTTTTACAGGACAATTTATCAAATAAGAATAATCGCTTCCTAATGGTCAATTTGAATTCGAATAGACTAATCATCGAAAAGGGCGTGGTATAAGTTACGAGTTTAAAAGTTTCCAAATGGATTTTTCCGGAAATATTATATCATAAAATAAATTTACAACCGAAAAGAATTGCCTCCAGAATATAAAACATCTTTTTTTCTAGAAACAAATTCGCTCATTTAACGAATAAAGATGTGAAATTGAAACGATTTACGCAGATTGGTCGATTTAAATTCAAATTTTGAATTTAAATTATCCAATCGAAGTAAATCGGCACGTTTTATTAAATTTTACTTGAAATATTGTAGAAAAAAAATATATAATAATAATAATAACCGGTGCAAATCTTTTAAGTAAGCGGAAATATACATCAACAGTAATATCATTTTCAGGAAACTGGGTCCCAACTTTTCCTTTATGACGTTCAAACAATCGAACAAAACGAATCGATATTGCAATGGAGCGAATGCGAATGCAAATGCATAACGTTGCTGCATCGTGCACGATATGTTATTATTACTAATTACATACAGCAGAAGTGTATTACAGGAAAACTATACCCGAACTATAGTATTAAGTGCAGTTACTCATAATACAAAACTACAAACGTAATGATCAGGAAGCCTCTTTAAGCTTGTATAAACCTACGAAAACGTATTGAGAAACAATGATTATGGACACGTTTCCACAAATATTTTGATGTCACTTGAACAATTAATGAATTTTGGAAATATTTGAATAATTCGCTTGCAAATTACTTAGAATGAAACAAAAATACTGTATATGTCGGTCGGTAACACACTACCAATTCAAAGGTTTGTATTATGAGTAACTAAAATTAAAACAAAGTTCGGGTGTAGTTTTACAAGTGTAGTTACTCCAAATACAAAACTACAAACGTAACGATCAGGAAAACACTTTGAACCTGTATAAACGTAAGAAAATTGTTTGGGAGAAACATTTGAGGACACGTCTCCACAAACGTTTCAAAGTTACGTAAATAACTAATAAATTTTGGAAATGCTTTCATAATTGCATGCAAATTACTTAGAATGAATCAAAAATAACATATATATCGGTCAGAAACACACTACATTCTTACCGACCGGTACATGTGTTGTATTACGAGTAACTTATAGTTCGAGTATAGTTTTCCAAGTACAGTTCCTCATACAAGACTACAAGCGTAATTACCAAGAAGCCTTTTTAAACGTGTATAACCTACGAAACGTCTTTGAGAAAAACGTTTGAGGACACATTTCCGCAAAAGTGTGTAAGTTACTTAAATAAATAATAAATTTTGGGAATGCTTGCACAGTTTACTTGCGAATTACTTAGAATGAAACAAAAATAATGTATGCATCGTTCAGTAGCATATTATATTCGATTCAAAGTATTTAACACTAAGAAAATATGTTTATGCATTCATTAAAAAGCCGGCAGTGTAATTAGAGAACAGAAATTAATTATTTATTTTTGTTTAAACGGACAGAACTTCTACTTCAATTAAATTTTTGTTTTTTGACTTCTCGAGTACCATTCATGTGAAATTTTCCCTTTTTCCCATTCTGTTTTTAATGGCTTGTTGAGTTTTATCGTCTCCTTATTTATTAAATTTTTATTAATAAAACTATTGGCTTTTATATTTAAATTTTTATTAAGCTTTCCTCCCTTAATATCCCAAAAAATAAGAATTTAATAAATTTAGTTTGCAGTCTTCGAACCAGTTAAAATTACATTAACTACAGGAACAAGTTATAATGATGCTTTCATTACACTACTTTAAATAAATATTATTTAGAAAATAATATTTTCGAGCGATATTTCTACTCCGGATTTACATTGCTACGTTTTTATTCTATTATTTTATTTTATTTTTTAAGTGAATGTCAGTTTTCTAGCAATTATCCCATCTTCGCTTTACTCATAAATTCTAGTATCACGTTTCTCAAAGCCTTGGGAGGAAAAAAAACTGGAAATGATGAAACGGGTCAAGCGGATAAATTTTACTTAAATTATTGAATAAATTTCAAATTTATCAATATTAAATTCGCTTATTATCGATTTTTTCTCACTACCTAAAAAGAAAAACTGCGTAACTTTCCCGGTAATAAAGTTAAAATTACGTGTGGCGCCATCTGTTAGGAGATAGTTTATTTAAAAACTTTCCATATTATTAATTATAAAAAGATTTATGGCGTTTTATAAAAAACTGTAAATGATTATTACAAGTAAAATCGTCTTTAAACCCTCTGTATCTCTCCACTCCTCCACCTTCTGTTACAAAAATTTAGTAGCATCAATCCCTATAATATATAAACCTACCTGCAAGATTTCAGAAATTTTTGACCAAAGCTACAGATGTTATTAAGCTTCGATGTGGATAAAAAAAAACTCTTCCCCCACACACATACAAACGAATTTCTTGCATTTCTTGACGTTTCAAAATTCCTTGAGTCCAAAACTGTAAAAATTTCGGGTGGGTTATTTTTTGACCAACTGCCGTACTTTCCCTCTGTTATATATAACAGATACAACCGCATTGTAAAAAAAAAGGAACGAATGAACAGGATAGGAGGAGGAAGAATTTCGGTTTAGCGTAGTAAATTTTGTGAATTTAAATTAAAAAATAAATAAAAATTTCGAAAAATTAAACTTGATTATTCATAGTGAAACAATAAAACAGCGTACACGACCCGAAACTAACAAAATACACCACGAAGGGGGTAGAGAACACAATAAAAATTTCTCCTCTCGAATATTAATAAATGTTAATTCTAAACCGTATAAAGTAGGTCGCCGGTGACGTCACTGCGTTGCTGAGTTGGTGTCGTCACGTGACTTGCATATAAATTACATGAGAGTCTTTAAAAGATTAACGTCCTCGCTTTGTACCCTTTGTATTATGATAATTAAACAAGCAGAACCTTTAATTCTCTCTCTTTTTTTTTTTTGGTTCTGTCTTTTTATTTTTAGCGTTAGCTTCATATATTACCCATATATATAAATACAGTAAAGTAAAACTTGTTTAAACCGGAATCGAACGGTATCCAATATTTTTGTCCGGTTTGGCAGGTTTCCGTTTTGAACAGATTTCTTTTAACTATAGAAAACCGTTCCGTTTCGAAGAATTTTCCCATTAGGAATGTTTCCGTTTTATTCGGGTTCCGTTTGGACAAGTTTTACTATATTATTCTGCATTAATATCTGCTACGGGTTTTAACGACACTGTCCACTTTCCACATGTAGAACTCTTTAAAAAATGCAGTAGCTTCCTATTCTAACATTTACCCACTTTACAATACTGTAAAACCTGTCGAAAAGGGATACCTGTCTAAACGGGAAATTTCTTTCGGAACGCCATGATTTTCTATGTTTTAAAAAAAACCTGTTCAAAACGGAAATTTTCCAAACCGGGAAAAGATATTCTGTACCATGCATTCCGGCTTACGGGAGTTTTACTGTACATTATTCTGCACTATTATACCTAAAATTTTGTAAGCTAAGCGAGTTTTAACACTGTCCACTAGAAAACTGCAGTTGCTTCCTGAAGTAACATTTACCCACTTTGCAATATTGTAAAACCTGTTTATAATGGAAACATGCCAAACCAGAAAAGACACTCTGTACCGTACGATCCGGTTTACGCAGAGTTTACTGTATCTACTAATCATTAAAATAACTAAGCAACCACTCGAAATAACATCACACAATTATGTATTATAATTAGAAAGAAGTAAGTTACATGAGAGCATTAACAGTATCAATAATTTGAAGAATATTACAAAATATCCTGAATCTTTCTTGCAGATTTAAACAGATCATTACCAGTAATGACGTTTTGATAATGCGGAAGTATTATCAATGAAATCTAACGATAATTATCATTTGTAACGTATTTCTCTTATATTTATACAAATTAGAAACACGAAGCTATTGAAAATTAAAGCGCACGTTCATTTTATCCATCCCATTCAACTTACCTAATTGTATCGTTAATGATACAGAACATCAAACGTCTCTTAATTATCAGGGACGTAATGAAAGTATCTTTATTCTCTCACATGAGAATTCGCAAGGTTTTATTATATAACAAAAATAATAAACAATAATAACACAACTAGGAGAGCAATAGTAAGGTGTATTAATCCATACTTACTTATTTTCGATAATAAATTTATCACCGTCTGCTTTCCTGCAAACGCCTTTTGTAGATATGGTACCGTTTTCTATCCTTATTGGATCTTGAACACCTTTCTGAAACCAAGTACCGGTCCATTCTGCCGGAAACTGACAGGTATCTGTGAAAAAAAAAAGATTCGTGTCTATCAGTATGACAATTATATGGAGTGCTTCTTCGGTTCCCTTCTATCTATGCCTTTTGACAAGAAAAGTACGACAGAATTTATTCATCTGAATGATGAGAACAGTTTTAAGTCTGAAAGCTAAAGATAAAAAGCATCACTCCAATATTTCCGTGGTTAAATCGTGTTAATTCTCCCCTTTTCTATAATTTATTCACTTTAAGCTTTCAAAAATATGGGTTCAATATGAATTTTTAAAAAAAACTAATTTTTCAAAAATTTTATTCTTGAAAATTTAATTCTAGAAAAAGTTCTTCATTTCTATATCATATTTCAGAAACAAAATATAAACGAATTAAATTAGTCTACATATAGTGCTAATTTCAACAATTAAAATGATTAATTAATTGTTGTAATAAACATAATTTTCAAGAATATTTTAAATTTCACAAAGGAAAATTTTAACTAAAAACTAATCAATTTTTATTCTTGAAAATTTAATTCTAGAAAAAGTTCTTCATTTCTATATCATATTTCAGAAACAAAATATAAACGAATTAAATTAGTCTACATATAGTGCTAATTTCAACAATTAAAATGATTAATTAATTGTTGTAATAAACATAATTTTCAAGAATATTTTAAATTTCACAAAGGAAAATTTTAACTAAAAACTAATCAATTTTTATTCTTGAAAATTTAATTATAGATAAAAATGTTCATTTCTGAAATTGATTCGTTTCGCTTTCAAAATTTAAACAATTCTAGAAAATGTGTTAATTACAATTAACTGTTGAAATCAACATTTTTTAAAGGAATTCGATTCTAGAATCTTTTCGGTTTCACATGCAGATAAATAACCTTAAAAATGGCAAAAATATTTATAAAATTCTATTTTTGTATTTATAAAAGTTAAAAATAAATAAATAACATTTAATAGATTTTTTCTCCTTCCTCATTTCCGTTTATATTTTTGAACAATTTATAACATTAGCTGATTTTATAAGATACGAGTTTATTCTAGAACGTTCACGGAATTATCATATTAAATAAGAAAGAGAAGAGAAAATCATAATCATAAAAAATAAATAAAAAATAAAATAAAATTCTGACTGCAGATTCTAAATTAATTCAGAGCTATATTAGTTACTAAACTGGTTCCACTGAGGAATAAAATAAATTGTTCTACTAACCTGGTTTTTCATTAAAATGTAAAGTGATTTTCAGTTTAGTATAAAGGACTTTCTCCCGTTCCTGGGGGAAGGAGAATTTTAAGAAGGAACAATGTTAAAATCGTAATTTCTGAAGAGGAAACGATGGTTTATTTTTAAGTATGTGTTATTGTTGTGAGTTTAATAGAGTGAATGCAAACATTTTAGGTTAATACCCCGGAGAAATTAAGGTGTAAATTCTGCAACTGACGAGATTATAGGAATTGCGCTTTATTTGACTCTTTGTGGCTTATGCGCTGTTATTTTTAGATTTCAGCAATTAAAAGTATTCTTTCGGTTGGAGAAAATTAAAAAATAAATAAATAAATAAAAATTATCGTGTAATGGCTTCAAACCTGCAACTGTGAAGTGTTTTTTGTAGAAGCAATAAAGGAGAAACAGTTTAATAAAAAAAAAAAA